GAGCCTGTTTCCGATTCTGTGTCTCCCTCTCTCTCTGCCCCTCCCCCGTTCATGCTCTGTCTCTCTCTGTCCCAAAAATAAGTAAACGTTGAAAAAAAAAATTTTTTTTAAAAAATTAAAAAAAAAAAAAAAAGAGTGGGTACATTCAGGGGCGCCTGGGTCCCTCAGTCGGTTAAGCATCCTACTTCAGCTCAAGTCATGATCTTGTGGTTTGTGAGTTCAAGCCCCGCATTGGGCTCAGAGCCTGGAACCTGCTTCGGATTCCGTGTCTCCCTCTCTGTCTGCCCCTCCCCCTCTTGCACTCTGTGTCTGTCTCTCAAAAATAAATATAAAAAAAAAAAAAAAAAAAAGAATGGGTACATTCAAACTCTGGTGTTGTGTTTTGTTTGCAAAAGTGGTTCTTAACTCTGGTAGTACAAAGCAATGTTTATGTTTTAGGCAGAACTAACTTTTTGCATGTGGCATTTGTGTTTTTCTGAAAATTTTCCTGTATTAAATCAGTTTTTTTATGGTGTTGATGCTAAAGGTGCTTACTGTTTAAAAACACACAGTAAGTTTTCCTTGTGACTGTTCACATTCAACAGTAGTAGAATTTTAAACTCAGGTCTATGCTAGAACGACAATAGCATTTTTAGGAATGTGGTGAGGAGCTTGGTGCAGAACTCAGAGCAGGACCTATGACTGCTAACCAGTGTGCCTGTGAGACCACATACATATTGGGATCCACTGGGTGGTAATTGGCGATGTCAGCTTGACGAGAGCCTGAAGCTCCAGGTGTCAAACACGCCATAAGGAGACCAGAGTGGGCAGGTGTACCTCTGACTCCCTTGTGAGTGGAGGCGAGCACACTGCTGGGTTAACAGTGAATGTGGCTGAAATTTTAGCTAAGTTCATAGTCCGTTTTGTGTCCCACTTTGTGTCCCACTGGATCTATTTTTGCCGTGATTTGGGATGGTAGTCAGGATGCATCCTTATGGAAACTGTCTTATTCTTTCAGGGAAGGGAGCTGTGTACAGCTTTGACCCAGTAGGGTCCTACCAGAGAGACTCCTTCAAGGCCGGAGGCTCAGCAAGTGCCATGCTACAGCCCCTGCTCGACAACCAGGTAAGGAGACTGCATCCATGTTGCTGTGACGTTAACACAGAGTGCCTTCCTCTGAGTTCTCCTATTCACCGGCTCAGGAGAGTGGAGAAATCAAGGGTTTCTTGTGCATCGCTATTGTTTTCGGTGGGCTGATTTGCCCTACCCAGACCTTCTTGTCTCTCTGTGTTCTGCTGGCTCTCTTGTGGCCTCTCACCTACTCTGTAGTGTCTTCCCCTGATACCGTGACTTCCAGGTCTCCTGTGTCTACAACGGTCGACCATGTTTTCAGTTCTCCTCTTGCCACCTTACCTGAAGCACTTGCAAATATCTTTTTCCCCACATTCACCATTTGTTTGTCACCTGATTTTATATTCTAACTTCCAAGTACATTTTTAATTTGCCCCCTTTCCAAATCTTACTGTTGCCTGAAATCAGGCCTGCATTTCCCATCATCCTTTCTGCCGCCAAGCTTACTTCTTTGTGTTTCTGAAATATGTGTGTACAGTTACTTGTGCATATTACTTATCTTCCTCATCACTCGTCACTCCGCTTCCACCTAGACCTTTGGTGTGGTGTGCCTGTCCCGTCACCAGGCCTTTGGGCATAGCACACCCTGGATCTGGAGTGTTACTCCTCTCTGACTCTGGTTTATCCTTCACACTCTGTACCCAAGTGTGTCTTCTGATGAAGCCTCTCTCTTCAGGGAGACTTAGTTATGGCTGCTAGGGATTCTCGTGGCTTTTTTGTTTTTCTTAGTGGTAGCACACTGTATAATGGTACTCTGCTTTCGTATGTCCACCTCTCTAGGTGATGTGTGCTTCTCAGGAGCAGCAGCTTTGTCTCCGTGAACATTTGTCAGGTTTTAGGAATGTATCATTTAGCCAGGTCTGGAAGAATTTCAGTTGAGAGATATTTTAAATGTATGTGATGTATTCATGATGAATCCTTAGATACGTGAAGGCACTGGGGAGGCTTGAACCACCTTTGTACTGTCACATGATGCCTCATTCAAGTTTCCTGTCCCACCAGGTTGGTTTTAAGAACATGCAGAATGTGGAGCATGTCCCACTGTCCTTGGACAGAGCCATGCGGCTTGTGAAAGATGTCTTCATTTCAGCGGCAGAGAGGGACGTGTACACTGGGGATGCACTCAAAATCTGCATCGTGACCAAGGAGGGCATCAGGGAGGAGACCGTTCCCCTGAGGAAGGATTGATTTGTGTGCTGTTATCATTAATCACTTCACAACTGGTTAATTTTGTATCTTGGAACTATTGGACTGATGTATTAAATAAAACCTGAAGTAATTATTCTAAGCAGGACAGATCTAGAAAGTATAATTTCGTTTTCATTTCCTTTTCTTCATTCTTCTCATATTTTTCTGTCTTCCAGAGCTATTTCTGTATTTTAATTATTTTTTTTTTAATTAAAAAAAAAAAGTTTTTTAAGTAAGTTCTATGTCCAGCATGGGGCTTAAGCTCACGACCCCAAGATCAAGAGTTGTACATTTCCCGACTGAGCCAGACAGGTGCCTTTATTTTTGTATTTTAAAGATGAAAAAAACAAACCGGTCATGTCACTTTTTCCTTATATTTATGAGCAAGAAATTAATCTGGAAAAGATGACTGTTTTGATCAGCTTATCGTTGCTTGATGGCCAGCCTATCTTATGCAGAGGGTTTTTGGAATTGATTATAAAGTCCACCCAGCTTTCTTTAAAAGGTAGATTACCTTTAAACCACTGCTTTTATCAGTTTTATTAATGAATGTAAAGGGAAATGGAAGATCTTAAGATATTCCCTGGGGATGTTAAACGGTCTGAAATGACTGGGAGAAAAATCTGCAAATCAACCAGCATAGAAGAAAATTACAAAAGTAAATAGCCCCTTAAATGAGCTTTAGCCAGTAATCAGGAAGAATTTTTATAAACACTTTAAGAATATTAAATCTGAAGGGCGCCTGGGTGGCTCTGTCGAGCCAGTTGAGCGTCTGACTCTTGGTTTGAGTTCAGGTCATGATCTCCCAGTTCCTGGGATTGAGCCCCACGTCGGGCTCTGTGCTGACAATGCAGAGCCTGCTTGTGATGCTCTCCCTCTTTCTGCCCCTGCCCTGCTTGTGCTGTCTCTCAAAATAAACATTTAAAAAACATGTTAAATCTGAGACCTAAATCTTGATAGAGCTAACATAAAATACATTTTATCTCCATTACATGTAATGCTGGAGCAGTTTCTTTGGTGTGAACAAGTCCGATGATATGGTGTAACCTAGGGGGTGTCATTGGTTTTGTGGCATTTTAACAACAGGATTTTCCTGTTGGCCTCCTGTTCAGAACTGGACTTACCAGAAACTCCTATGAGATACATATTTTAACATTTGCTGAGAAGTCTGTTGATCTGCCACCTGCAAGCTGAAGACCCAGGAGAGGCGGTGGTGGGGCCCTGCCTCCAAGGACCGGGAAGACGGCTGTTCCAGCTCAGCGTTTGGGCAGAGAGCAGATCCTTGTACCTTTTCTGTTTGTGGCTTCAGCAGATTGGATCACATCTGTGCTGGGAAGGGCAGCCGGCTGTACTCCGTGTACCAGTGTAAATGCTAATCTCACCCAAAAGTCCGCACAGACACCCCAAAATACTTAGCAGAATATCTGGCACCCTGTGATCTAGCCAAGTTAATATAACATTAATCATTACAATTATATAAACTAGTTGTATGTTATTTTTTGTTTCAAAGGATGTCCCATTGATATTGGGATTCTACTTTCCACTATTTAAAATTATATAGATTTGTGTGCCTGGAACTTTGTATAAGATCCTCACCTCCAAAGTTTTCTGGGGAAGTTTTCCAAATTCATGATGTCTTTTTCTCACCTTCCGGTATGAATTATTTTAACCTAGTAATTCTCTACACCTTGAATGTGGTCTCCTTTGAAGGCCTGTGTTTGAAGGAGGCTGCAGTTAATACTACCTTGTCCAGAATATGCTGGCACGTGGGTCCTTCCAGAGCTAACTCTAGTTGTTTGGGTGGCTTTTATAGATCATTTAACCACAATACCTCGCCTGAAAAAGGCAGCCTTTTAGCACTTTGGTAGATTAGAGTTTAATTTATTGTTAGCCAGGCTTTAAGTTTCTGGTGAAAAAGCTGCCATTAGGTCAAGACTTCCCTTCATACGTCAGATTCGCATTTCTGCCTGCTGCACAGAATGAAAGGGGGTTGAGAATCAGAAAATGTTAGGAATTGTGGGAAAACAGTGCTTATTACTCTTTGTATGTGTTAACTGTGACTTGACTTACACACACTGAATTGGAATGTTGTGTATATGTTTTTTGTTTAATGATGAGAAAGGGCAGAGATATTTTTCCAAAGTCTGCTCAACGGAACTGCCCAGTGGGGTTGTCCTGGCTCAGAGCTAAGCCTGTGACCAGCAGGTGCCACTCACGCCTTCATGTGTCATACACAAGCATGTTTTCTCGAATTGCAGAGATTAAAAACAGGCTATGAGGCCGACTGCAAGCCTACTTGAAAGGAATATGGACCAATTAGTGGAAAGTGTCCTTATTACCAAAATGGCTCAACTATTACCCCAATGGGTTTTTGGTTTGTTTTTTTTTTTCCCTTGCCTTTCTGTACCTAATACCTAGAAGAGCCTTTCATGGCCAAGAAAATTCATTAACTTGCTTTCTGACTCTAGATCTCCTTTCCCTCTACTTGTGCCTTTCAGAGGGTGGGATCTCCTATATCAGAATTATGTAGAACACTGGGTAAAAACTAATTCCTGGGTGCACCCGAGACATATTTTCTTAAAAAAAAATTTTTTTTTAATGTTTATTTTTGAGAGACAGACAGAGCATGAGCAGGGGGAGGGGCAGAGGGAGAGGGAGACACAATCCAAAGCAGGCTCCAGGCTCTGAGCTGTCAGCAGAGCCCGATGCGGGGCTTGAACTCACAAACTGTGAGAACATGACCTGAGTCGAAGTCAGACGCTCAGCCGACTAAGCCACCCAGGCACCCCATAAGACATTTTCCTAGTCTCAGAGCTGGACCTGTATTTTTAAGTTAAATACCCACAATTTAAAAAAACTCCCTTAACTCCTCTTCAGGCACTTTTAATCAGAAACAATCATAGGAGACATAGTAGAAGATTTATTCTAGTATTTGACCTGTAAGTGCAATTAAGAGGAGGTAGATCTGGGCTGTGTGAGGTGCCGGAGCCTAAAATCCACGGTGCGGGCTGTTGGGGAGGGACAATGAGTGTGAAGTGGGGGACACAGGAACAGACTGGAACCTGCAAAATGGGGCCATGAGGACACTTGTGTCAGTCTCACTACCTTCAGATGTCCAGCTTCAGTGATGAGGACAAGGGACTGGGCTAAACGCTCACCTGGCCCAGCAGCTGGGGAAAGCTAGAATGAGTCAGACAAGAGCTGATGGTGCTGAGCCCAGGTGCTGCCCAGGACCCCGGAGGTGGACACAAAGCAGGATGGCCATTGCCTTACATCTCTCACCTGCCAGCCCTCCAGAGTTCCCAACAGCAGGCTACACCTAAACTGGGAAGGAGCTTCAGGTTCCTTCCCAAGTTGTTGCTTGTACAGAGGAGGTGGCAGCTGTGTCCATGGACAATCTGTTGGGGGAGGCTGAAGGCAAGGTGAGCTGGAGGTACAGAACCTCCTCACAGCCTTGTTTTCTGCTCATTAGCTTGATTTCCACCAGAACAGAGGTTATGAAAATGGTTTGAAGGGAGTTTCACCCACAGGATCACTGGGGTTTGTCTGTTAACATCCTGGGGCTTATTTTCTCTCTTAGATGGGGAAGCGCTCACAGTGTGTACAGTTTGGAGGTGGTGAGTCTGGGATGTCCAAAGAAGGGAGAGGCCCTGACTGTGCAGGCCATGATCCCCCTCTGAATGGGTGCCTAGTGTCTTTGTCCTGAAGATGCTTCACCGACATGTGCTTTCTTCTACCCTCCAGGAGATCAGCTGTCCGTGTGGCTCTCCCTGGTCTGAGTGGCTCCTTGGAGTATGTAATCAACTTTGAAAAGTATTTTTCTGTAATGGGAAAACCTCCATTCAAAGCACAACATGAGGTGTGGATTGATATCCATGGGCTGATTTAGGAAGTATAGGTGATCTAGAGTGTGATCTCCTACCACTTTGTCCTCAAGCAGACCCACAACCTGTGCCTTTTCTGCAGTAAAGTTGGCTGTTGCCTTTTCTGCAGGGAGTTGGCTGTGGTCCAGGGAAGAGGTTGGACCCAGGTTCTTCAACGGAGATCCGATCTGCATCAGTCACTCTCTCAGGGGCCGCCAGATGGCAGTGTTGGCTTGCCCAGTCTAAGCCACCCTGCCATAGAAGATCTGCTCTGCAAAGAAGCAGGTTGCTGGCCTGTGCTCTGCCAGTGCACAGACTTTGCTGAGTCTGTGGGATGAACCCAGCAAAATTGGTAGGAGTCTACTAAAAGGGATAAACCAGAGGTTGGTAGGTAGTAAACTCTGCCAGAGGTCTTGTGTGTGTATGGGAGGGGGAGGAATGTTTCAGGGAGAGAGAAGGGGGGAGAAGGGTTGTGGTTTGGAGAGACAAAAATTAAAACACAGAATTCCTCTGGAAACAGATTTATGGGGTGACTGGTGAAATTTATTATGGTGACCAGGTGACTGGCTGCAGAAATGAGATTAAGACTCAGTATTCATTTCATTCTACTGATTTCTCACTCTCTGGGTTTTCTTTGTTTTCTGCCACCAGCGAGTCCTCTTGTGTCTTGTACTTCAGCAAATTCCTTTCAAATGAACATTGATGTTATGATGATCTAAGGACTCAAGTCTCTAAATGCCATTGAAATTCTTGGTTGAGGATTTTGTAAGGATGCTGATAATAGGATTTTTCTACAAATTTTTCCACTTTGTCCTCAAGCAGACTTACAAGCTTGAGGAAGCTTGATCTTTGATTAGCAAAGTTCTAAGTTCAAAGTTCTAAGTTGCTTGCTTTGAGTAGTGTTCAACTACATCCCAAGAAAATGCAAGAGAAGACTTGCTTTTCTCACATTTAACTTAACGCCTTTGACTTAAAAGGAGTTGGTCTGTACTGCTTTCATTTAGGAGTAAATGTATTTTTCTTGTGTCTCACAGGTAATCCTGCCTTTTTTCTCTTTTGTTCAGAATAGAAATCATGTAAGTCCAAGAGAGACCTGCCCTAGAGATAAAAGGAAAGTCTGTAATTATTTTATTTTTTTAAAAATTTTAATGTTTATTTATTTTTGAGAGAGAGAGTGAGCAGGGGTGGGGGAGGGATAGAAAGAGAGGGAGACACAACTCAAAGCAGGCTCCAGGCTCCACACTCTGCACCGTGCCCGACGTGGGGCTTGAACTCATGAGCTATGGGATCATGACCTGAGCCGAAGGCAGACGCTTAACTGACTGAGCTGCCCAGGTGCCCCAGAAAGTCTGTAATTATAATGACTGTATTTCCTTAACCAAAGTTTGAATCATGCTATAATGTAGACTCTGACCAAAGATTTGAATTCAGGGCTGTCTTTGAAATATTAACAGTTGTAATAGACTTGTTAGGAGTCCCTATTTGATTTTGTTTTTCTTTCTAAATATTTCTTTTTAATTATTTATGTAAAAAAATGTTTAATGTTTATTCATTTTTGAGAGAGAGAGAGAGTGAGCATCAGCGGGGAAGGGGCAGAGAGAGAGGGAGACACAGATCTGAAGCAGGCTCCAGGCTCTGAGCTTGAACTCACGAACTGCTAGATCATGACCTGAGCCAAAGTCGGATGCTTAACTGACTGAGCCGCCCAGGCACCCCTATTTTTAATTATTTCAAAAACTAAAACTGGATTCTGATTTTGTTTATGTCCTTGACTCTCTCATATTGGCAGTTTTCATTTACTATTAGAGTTGGTGGTTGAGAGCCACAGAGTGGCCTAGGAGGGAAGGGCACTGCTGACCATCCGTGTAGAGCTGCTGCTTTCCCTGTCATTTACAATGTTAAGAAAAGTCATCTACAAACACGAAGATGTTGGTTAGCTCCTCAGGAAGCCATCCTGTTGGGCCTTACCAGCTCTGTTCTTACTGCTTCCTGAGAGCATTGCTATTTACGAATTCTCTAGAACCTTGTCAGGCATGGGGAAGCCCTCCAGAAGACCTGCCAGCCATCTTGCTCCTGGACTCTGAGGCTCTGAAACCCGTACATGTCATAAAGTATTCCCCATTTGGGGTTTCCCTGTGAAGCTCCTCAGAACTTTTCCTGAAAGCTAATTACAGTGACTCTAGTGAGGCCAGCGTTTCTGAGGGGAAGATGTGGGCCTAGAGAAAGGCACAGAGGACAAGAACAGAGAGCCAGGGAGACCCTGGGTAGCGTTGAGGAGCCCGTGTGATTTGCAACAATCCTTTCTGTGGGCTCTCAAAAGAATATAAATCAGCACGGGGCCAGTATTGATATATTATGAGAGCACAGACACCAAAATCGGATTTTTCTAGGAAATCAGAATTGGCTTGTTTATGTTGTTTATTTAGGGGTGGGGTTAGGATATTTGTTCAGACACTCACTGTGTTCAATGTATCCATTATTTCAGCAGTAGTTTTCAAGATCCTACCATGTCCCAGGCACTTTCTATGTCCCATGGGGACATAGCTGTGAATAGGGATATGAAGTCCCTGCTCTCTTAAGGTACAGCTCTCTTAAGTGTCTATGAGGAACACCAAAAGTGTGAGGTAACAGAGTAGGCAGGTGTCTACTTGAGAGGGTTGTGGAGAAGGTGACATGTGAGCTGAGACTTGATAACAAGAACAAGCCAGGGATTTGAGAGTCTTGGGATGAGCTTGCAACACACATTTGTTTCCTAAACGCCAGCTGAGCACCATCTCTGTGCCAGGCCCTGGGGTCTAGCCCTGAACAGAATAGACTCCAATCTTCCTCTCAAGAAGCTTGTGTTTTAATGGGGAAAATGAGACAACCAACACAATAGAAAGTGTATCTTGCAGAGTTATAGTGTGTTGCAGTTACAAGGTGATGAGTGCTGGGGAGAAAAACAAAACAGGCAAAGGTCTTGCGGGGTCAGGGGGCAGTGCAGGTATCCGGGAAGGAGCTTCCTCCAGCTAAACAGAAAGGACACTCTACTTCTGATTCTTTCTGAGAAAGAAGCCATAGCTTGGTGATTCTTGTGTTGTGCCTCAGAAGGAGACTGAAGCCTTGACACTGAAGCCACTCCTTGGCACTGAAACCACGGCTTCTTACTGTGCCGTGCTGATAGCTGTCTTTGAGGAAAGGGCTAGAAGACGGTCTGTGTGGGGCTCATCAATTAGCAGCTCTATTGCTGGTGGTGACATGTGGCACATCTGGGTAAATAAAAACCTGGTACAAGAGAGGGTGTTTTAGTTTCAAATTCCTTAAATAACCAACAGTTGGGAAATGGTTAGACAACTTATGAAATACTCATTACATGGGATATTATCCTGTCATTAAAAGTGGTACCTATGAAGTCCTTGTATGTAACATGGCAGAATATTAGGGCAGAACACTAACTGAAAATCAACAGAATACGACATTGTTTGTGTGCCACAATTATGACTATGTGGAAAAATGAAATCGTAATACAGTAGAGAAAGCACCCCGATGAATACAATGGGATAGCCCAATATGGGTGGGTATCTTTATAGACCTCTGTAATCGACTTCTATTATTTATTTTTAATTTTAGGACAAAGCTTTGTAATTTAGAATTCTAAATTTAACAACTCCTCTTCCCATTTTTTACAAGTAATTTCCACACCCACCCAAGGGCTCAAACTCATGACCGAGACTAAGAGTCCCGTGGTCCACCTACCGAGCCAGCCAAGCACCCCACTCCTCTTCCCTTTTTGCCAAACTTCTCAAAATGTTTTATTTTAATCGTAGATGCAGTATAGTAATCAACTTAATAGGAAAAAAAATCTAGGTGGTAGCTTGGTTTGAGTTGGTGAAAAATCAGGTTGTTTGACATAGTATCTCACTTTGAACCAGCCATAATGAAGTCGATAGATATACCTGATCATCTCCTAAGCAGTAAGAAAATAAAGACTTGTTTTCATGAGCTGTGCCTCCATAAGCCACAAGTATTTTCAGGCAGTGTGTGGGGCAAGATTGGGAGGAGGGTTGCTCACTTGCTCACTGCAAAGGGCTGGTGCTGCCTACCGCATGGGAAGACTGTTGGACAGCTAGATGGGGGCTTGGGCAGAAGAACAGTCTGATTTATCTGTTGGATTGTGGAACTGAAACCCCAGGCTTTTTAGACAGATGCGCACAAAGCCTCTGGGTTGTCTGGAGAAAACCACAGAAAATTCTGACTTTCCTTGAGTTTCATGAAGGTGAACGGGGTTTTAACCTTTATGCACATTATAAAATTCTAACAAGGCAAGTAATACTGAAGGGTGTAGAATTTCCCTCAGAAAAGACTGGTGTTAGGGAAAAATGACCAATGCCTTTCTTACTCCATTGGAAGCTTGGAATAATGTCACATTCCTTCTTACAGTTTTCACGAATTGGAGGGAAGCAATTACCAGGCAAAACTTATCAGCAAGTTTGGTGTAGGTTTGGAGGTATTTTTACTTTCATCCCTTTAATAAATTTACACTGTTCCATGTCCCTCGTAATTCTATAAGAAACATAATTTTGGAATTTTGCAGTAGATAAAACCTAAGTGGCTATTCAGTGGCTCAAAATGTACAGCCGGTTTGGAGCGAGGCCCTCCTGATACTTCAGCCCTCTTATTCGGACACTTCCCATTGCTGTGGGCATGGGTGCCGATGTGTTTGTCCTAAATTAAGTAATTTCCTAGAGGGCCAGATCTTATCTTTGTTTATCATCTGAAGTGACAGCATGCTTTGGTTTATTATGAAGCACAAGCCATGTTTTTCCTTGAATTCATCCTTTTTTCCATCCATTCATCCATGTATTTTATTATGGAACATTTCAAATGGACACAAAACAAGTTGAGAGACCAGTACAGTGAAACCCTATGTGCCCCTCACCCCCTTCAATAACTACTCATGGCCAGCCTTATTTCGTTCCCTCCCACCCCCTAGATTATTTCGAAGCAAATCCCAGAAATCCTGTAACTTCATCTGTAAATGTTTCAGCCCTCTAAAAGATAATGACCATATATTAAAGTACAATCACAGTATCGCAATCATACCTTTGAAAATTAACTATGATCCTTTAATCAAATATCCAGTCTATGTTGAAATTTCCTCGATTGTCTCACAAATTTCTATTTATAGTTCATTCAAGCCTGGAGCGAAAGAAAGCAATCTCTCTCTCTCTTTGCCTTGCAATTTCATTGTCAAAGAGTGCAGGTGGTTTGTCCCGCAGAGTTCCCTGCTTTCTGAACGTTACTGATTGCATTTCTGTAGTTTCTATAAGTGTCTTTTCTTGTAAATTGGTGGATTTAGAGGCTTGATCAAATTCAGTTCAATTTTTCACTAACAGAGCAAGAGATATTTATATGAGTCTTACTAATTTGCTTAGACGAGCAAACTAGACACATTTCTGTTAAACAGCAGTGTACTGTGATAGGTACTTTTTGTGATATGATGTATACCTCACCGTATTAATGATTTTTCAGATAGGCTTCAGTTTCTGAAGCCAAAAGCCTTCATTCGATCATAGGTTTCAGACTCAGATGGCCTCCCCCTCAGGCAGGAGGATGCCTCTTTCCACATGGGGGGTGGAGAGGGTCGCCTCTTGGCTTCTGCAAGAGCAGCTGGGGGGGAGGGAGGGATGGGGATCTCATCTGCCAGGCCACTCCCCTAGGCTACAAGGTCTCAGCTTCTTCTTCAGGGCCGAGCCTTTCTGCCAAGGTTTTTGTTTTTTTGTTTTTAAATGTTTATTCATTTTTGAGAGAGAGCATGAGTGAGGATAGGGCAGAGAAAGAGGGGGACAGAGGATCCGAAGTAGGCTCTTGCTGAAAACAGCAAGCCCAATGCAGGGCTGGAACTCATGAACTGTGAGATCATGACCTGAGTCCATGTTGGATGCTCAATGGACTGAGCCACCCAGGCGCCCGTTTTTTATTTTTTTTAACGTCTGTTCATTTTTGAGAGACAGAGTGCAAGTGGGGGTTGGGCAGAGAGAGAGGGAGACACAGAATCCAAAGCAGGCTCCAGGCTCTGAGCTGTCAGCACAGAGCCTGACGCGGGGCTCGAACCCATGACTTACAACTCATGACCTGAGCCGACTGAGCCACCCAGGTACCCCTGTTTTTGTTTTGAAAAGACAGTCCACTCTATCTCATTTCCCTGCTCTGTGTTAGTAATAGAAATGTCGCTTTCTTCCTCAAATAGCAAACATCCCAGCCTCTTTGATCCACTTGTCTGCTTTGTGAGCCCTCTTACAATTCAGCCCCTGCATTCAACACCTTTATTTACATGTTTTATTCATGGGGTAATAGTAATAATGCACTGTTAGTCTCATCTCCTCTCTGCCATTATCTCGATTCTCTCTGTGTTGGGACTATTTTTGGGAGAGTGCCTCAGTGACAGCTGTGGGACACATTTAACCTGCCAGCTGAAATGTCTTACAAAATGCCCTTCATGTTCCAGCTTATGTACATGGCTCGGCCCGGGCACAAATGGCACAGGGTAAGTGTGCCCGGTACCTCTTCTGGGAGGCTCAGGTGGTCCGGATTCCCTTTTAGAAACTTCAGAGTCAGGCTATTCGTAGTGATGACTCCTCATGCTCCAGCTGCCATGCCTGCTCCCTGCTGGCAGCGGGGACTCCGATCCCTGACTCCTTAAAAGGAAAGGTCTTGAGAAATGCTGCCCTGAGTCAGACTGTGGGCCGCACAGGCAGGAGCTTCTCTCTGAGAGTGGTGCCAGGGGAACGGCTCGTGGGGGCAAGAGGGTGTCCTCCAAGAGCATGGCCTCAAAATAGCCCGGCTGTCCTGAGCTTCCCCTGATAGCCTGCCATGAATCAAATACCCACAATCTATGCAAAGCTGTTGGAAACCTATTTATATTTTCTGTTTGTGCCACATGAAGAGCAGTTGGATTGAAACTATCTTTCCCGAGGTGTTTTGTTCCCCCTTGTTTCCCTAAAACTGAAGTTGTGTCACCTCTGTGACCAGGGATCACATGGAACGTGACGAGTCACATCGATTTGTGAATGTGCCAGGGAAGGTGCAGCTAACATCGAGGGTGTTACGGACACCTTCCATTGGTGTATTGTAGGGACCACAAGTTGCCTATGAGACATCAGTATGTGGGCAGAAACCAAACATCTTGCTTTTGGGAGTAGATTCCATCTCAAAGAATTGTCCAGAAAAGGAAAAGCTTGTTTATCCCAGTTTCCTTCATGACTACCCTCCAAAATCAGCTTCTATAGGGATGATATTCCAGGCAAATGTGGCCGATGGCCTGGGCAAGGCTACAGCCACCCCCCCCCTTTCTCTACTGGGCTACAGCTGTGACAAATGCATGTGCCAGGAGGTCAAATTAGGGAGGACTTCAGGAAAAGTTCTAGGTTGGAAGCGAATTTATATGGATTTCCATCCAGAAAGAGAGCTGGGCTAACTCAGCAGCCTGGCTGGGTCTGGCCCCCAAGAGGAACTCACAATGTCCATTGAGCCCCTGGGTGTTTACAAGCTATCAGGTTAGAGTGGGTGTCCAGGCAATATTTGGGAAAATCTAACAGAAATTGGGCATTTACATGAAATAGGGCCCAAGGATTAAGGAGACTTGTATGTTCACAGGACAGTAGTGGGGTCAGTCCTGGAGCTCCTCTCAGGTTTGTACCTCCACCGGCCCCTCATGTGCTTGCCAGAGCAAGCCCTTGGAATTGTGGTCCAGCCACACGCACATTGTGGTGCCCTCTCCCACACTCACTTTTCTGGCAACACATGCTGCTTATTGTTGCCCAGAGACACCTGCAGGTTCCTGGATGTAGGCTCTGGGGTCCAATCCCATTACTTCCAAGCCGTGTGTGTCCTCTGGAGAAGTATTCGACAAGGGAAAGCTGTGGTTTCCTCACCCATGAAGGAGGGTACTATCAGTACTTCCTCCCAGTGCAGAGTAAATGTGTGTGAGTGCACAGCCCAGAGCCTGACACGTAGTACCTCCTCAGGAAATTGGCCTTGATGGTAGTCCTGCTCTTCAGAGGGGACTACCACACACTCTTCTCCCACCTGCCTGGAAACTCTTAATTACCCTTCAGAGCCTTTGATTTTTGGCTCAAGAGTACCTCAGGGAAGCCATCTCTGACTCCCACCTGCCCTCCACCCCCACCTCCTAATTCACTGTCCTCTCTCCTCTTGTGCAGATTCTCTGCCGAGGGTAACTCCTCACTTGCTGTCCACCATCATCCCAGAAGGCAGAGACCTCACCCGCTTTGCACTCCTGGCTCCAGACCCATGTCCACCATTATTGCTTAATAAATATTGTTAAACTGGTTAATCATGTCAGTTGAGTAGTTTTTTTTTTCTTGATGTTTATTTATTTTTGAAAGACAGAGTGTGAGCAGGGGAAGGGAGGAGAGAGAGGAAGACACAGAATCCGAAGCAGGCTCCAGACTCAGAGCCTGATGCCGGGCTTGAACTCACAAACGGTAAGACCATGACCTGAGCTGAATTGGGACGCTTCACCGACTGAGCCAGCCAAGTGCCCCTAGTGGTTTCTTGATAAAACTCTGGTTGGCAACTATAAATGTCTTTGATTCTTGAAAAATGTGTTGTAACTAAATCTAGTTTTGTAGGAAAACCCTACCCAACACAGGGTGGATCAGTGGGGGTGGAGTGGAAAAGATGAAAAGAATTCTTGGTGGTAGAAAGTTTGAGGAACCACTGAGCTAGCATCTCCTCCCATCCCAGCAGGAGCTTGATCTCCAAATTAAGCATTTGTTTCTGAGCTTAGGAGGCAGCAGCTGCCACAGAAGGTTAGGATACAATGCTTTGCAGCTGACCAGTACCCTTCCTGAATTGGCTTCTCCCTCCACTAGGCCAGGCGTGCACTCCTGTTGGCTTTCTCTGGGCTGGCTTCCAGCCCCTGGCCACTCCCTAAGGTCCCTTGGGGTCACTTCGCTACCTACAGCCCTGCGATTTGGGACCAGCTCCTGTCACCTTCTGTTTAGCAGTTAAAATTCCATACGTGCAAAATTGAGGAAATGACCCAGTATGAAATGTTGGCTGTTTTCAGACCCCAAAACTTTCTTTTCAGTTAGTTGGTGTTTAATAACCTTGTATTTGAACTAAAATTATAAAATCCTAGTCCTGGATCCCTATCTTTCAGCATCTCATAAAATCAGTTTTCCCAAGCACATGGCTTTTAAAGTTTTATCTACTACGTGTAAATGACCATTTTGCGTACTAGTTCACTGGATGATAAGATTCACACACACACTTCTATGAAAAAAACCCACTTGCTTGGAATCCATCTTTCTATTTCCAGTCCTAAAAGAGTCCAAGGAGTTATTGAAACCATTTTCTCTTCCCTGTCTCCATCGCTACTTAGTTCCTAGTGCAGGCTCTGCTTGTATTGAACCTGGATGACTCCAGTAGTCTCCTCACCAACTTCCTGGCCTTCACGTCTTTGCCTCACCCCTCTGTGCCCTACAGGGCAACAGGTATGATCTTCCTAAAATGCAAATCTGACCATGCCACTTTCCTCCTTGAAATTCTTCATGGCTTTTGTTTTTACTCACTTAAAAACATTTACATACAATAAAATTAACTCTTTTTAGGTGCATTTGTATGTGTTTTGACAAATGCATACCATTAGTAACCAGCACCACAACCAAGATCGACAAGAGTTGCTTCTCCTCACAAAAATCAACCCCCAGCCCTTGGCAACCACAGATCTATTTTCTGTTCTTTTAATTTCTCCCTTTCCAGCATATCTCTTAAACAGAATCATACAGTATGTAGCCTTTTAAAAAATACCTTTTTATTTTGAGGTACTTCTAGATTGATAGGTAGTTGAAAGAAACAGCACAGAGAGATGCGTCACCCTATTTCTTTCAATGACGACAATTTGCAACCAGGATGTGCACTGATGCAGTCAAGAAACAGAAATTTCCATCACTACAAGGATCTCTCCTTTTGCCCTTTTATACCCTCCTCCTCCCCCTTTCCTTAAACCCCTGGAAACTGCTATTCTGTCCTTTATTTCTCTAATGTTGTAATTTCAAGAATGTTATATAGATGGAATCATACAGGATGTAAACTTTTGGAATTGAATTAAAAAAAATATTTTATTTTTGAGAGAGAGTATGCACGTGAGTAGGGGACAGGGAGGGGCAGAGAGAGAGGGGGACAGAGGATTGGAGAGAGAGGGGAACAGAGGATCGGAAGCAGGCTCTGTGCTGATAGCAGAAAGCCCGAAGTGGGGCTTGAACTCATGGACCATGAGATCATGACCTGAGCCAAAGCTGGACACTTAACCAATGGAGCCATGCAGGTGCCCCATGGGATTGACTTTTTTTACTCAGTCTAATTCTCTGGAGATTCATCCAAGTTATTGCATGTATCTGTAGTTTGTTTCTTGTTATTGCTGAATAGGATTCCATGTTGTAGATGTTCACAGATGTGTCTGTCCCTCTGCCAACCCCACACAGTCTTGATTATTGTAGCTATCTAATAAGTCTAAAATTGAGGAGGCTGATTTCACCTACTTTATTCCTCTTTTTCTGAGTTGTTTCAGTTATTTTAATTATTTTAGTTCCTCTGTCTTTCCATATAAAGTTTGGAATTTTCTCGTCTATCTTCATTAGAAAATCTTGTTGGGATTTTGGTAGGAATTGTGTTAAAGCTGTATATCAATTTGGGGAGTATTGACATCCTTACTATGTTGAATAGTAATCCAATCCGTGAACACATATGTCTCTACTTAGACCATATTTGATTTCTTTCATCAGTGTGGTGTAGTTTTCAGCATACAAGCTCTGTACATGTTTTGTTAGATTTACACCTAAGTATATAATTTTTTAAAAGTGATTGTAAATGGTACCATATTTTTACTTTTGGTGTCCATGAATTCATAGCTAATGTATAGAACCATAATTGGTTTCTTTATATTTGTCTTGTATCTGGCAACCTTACTGAATTCCAAGAATAGTTTTAGGTGTTTCTTTTTGTAGGTTCCTTCGGACTTTCTGTGTCTGTAAGTACAGACAGTTTCATTTCTACCTTTTCAACCTGTATTCATTTCATTTCCTTTTCTGGCTTTATTGCACTGGCTAGAACTACCAGCACTATGTTGAGTAAGAGTAGTGAAAACAAATATTCTTGCCTTATTCCTAATCTTAGGGGGAAAGCATTTAGTCTTTCATCATGAAGTATAATGTTAACTGTAGGTTTTTTGTAGATGTTCTCTATAAAGTGGAGGAAGACCCCCTCTATTTTTATTTTTCTGAGACTTTTTAATCATGAATGGATACTGGATGTTGTCAAATCTTTTTTCACATCAATTGATATGACCATATGACTTTTCTTCTTAACCTTTTAATTTTGTGAATTATTTCAAAATAAAATTAATATTGGGGTGCCTGGGTGGCTCAGTTGGTTAAGCGTCTGACTTTGGTCCAGGTCATGATCTCATGGTTTGTGAGTTCGAGCCCTGCGTCAGGCTCTGTGCTGACAGCTTGGAGCCTGGAGCTTGCTTCAGATTCTGTGTCTCCCTCTCTCTGCTCCTCCCCAGCTTGCACGCACACGCTCTCTCTCTCTTTGTCAAAAATAAATAAAAAACTTAAAAAAAAATTAAAATTAATACAATTTCATATAATTGATATAATTTAAATTATATTTAGAAATTATTTTTTAAATTATTGCTGAGTAGGATTCCATGTTGTAGATGTTAACAGTTTGTGTCTATCCCTCTGCCAACCCCACAAAGTCTCTATTATTGTAGTATCTAATAAGTCTAAAAATGAGTATATTTAAAAATTATTTATTTTTGAATATTGAACAGCTTTACATTTGTGGAATAACCCTCACGTGGTCATGGTGTATAATTCGTTTTTTTGTATTGTGGAATTCTATTTGGTAATATTTTGTTAAGGATTTTTGCACCTATATTCATGAGGGATATTTGTCGACAAATTTCTTTCTTTCTTTCTTTCTTTCTTTCTTTGTACTGTCTTTGTTTTTGAATAAGGAAAATACTAGATTCATAAAATTAATTGGGAAGTGTTCCACCTCTCCTATTTTCTGGAAGAAATTTTATAGAATTTGTGTTAATTCTTCTTTAAACATTTGGTAGAATTATCCAATAAAACCATCCGAGGCTGGAGATTTCTTTGGGGAGTTTTAAAATTACAAATTCAATATTAAGAGTTATAGGACTGTTCAAATGATCTATTTCATATTGAATGAGTTGTGGGAGACTGGATTTTTTAAGAATTAGTCTATTTCATCTGAATTGTCATATTTATGTGTGCAGAGTTGTCCACAGTGTTCCCCTATGTTCCGTTTGATGTCTGATATCTTTAGTGATATTTCCTGTTTCATTCTTGATATTGGTAATTTGTGTCTTCTCTCTCTTTGTCTCTCTGTCTCTCTCCTCCCCTCTCCATTTTGCTGAGGTTTGGCAATTTTATTGATCTTTTCAAAGGAGTTTCTGTTTTTTTCCCAATGTTTATTTATTTTTAAGAGACAGAGAGAGACAGAGAGAGACAGAGCTTGAGTAGGGAGAGGCAGAGAGAGGGGGAGACACAGAGTCCAAAGCAGGTTCCAGGCTCTGAGCTGTCAGCACAGAGCCTGAAGCGGGGCTTGAAACCACAAACCATGAGATCATGACCTGAGCTGAAGTTGGAAGCTTAACCAACTGTGCCACCCATGTACCCCAAAGTAGTTTCTGTTTTAATATTTTTCTAATATTTTAAATTACATTGATTTCTGCTCTTTATTATTATCTTCTTTCTGCTTTTCTTGCTTTGTGTTTCTTTTGCTCTTTTCTAGGTTCTTGGAGTGGAAGCTTAGGTTATTGATTTGAGACATACAGAATGTGTTCTCCAACCATAGTAGACTCAAACTAGAAGTCAATGACAGAAAACATAAAAATAACAGGAAAATCTCATCTATGAAGCCTCAAGGAAAATAAAACAAATACACTGAACTAAAGAAAAATGATGTATAGCATATCATATATTTGTGTATGTTTCTAATTCTTTTAAATTTATTGAGGTCTTTTCTTTTCTTTCTTTCCTTTTTCCTCCAAGATATCTTGGTATATCTTTTGCGGGCACCTGAAAACATGTATTCTGTTGTTGTTAGGACTGCCATATAAATACTGATTAAAACTTATTGGTTGGTTTATCAGTTGCTGAGAGAGGGATGTTCTCATCTCCAACTATAATTGTGGATTTGCCTATTTCTTTTTCAGTTCTAAAAGTTTTTGAATCACATATTTTGAAGCTGTGTTGTTTGGTGTGTGCAAATTTAGGATTGTTGTGTCTTCTTGGTGGACTTGTCCTGTTACCATTACATAATGACTTATTTGGGCTCTTGTAATTTTCTTTGCTCTAAAGTTTACTTTATTTAATAGTAATATAACCACTTCTGCTTTCCTTTGATTAATATTTGCACAATATCTATTTTTCCACCCTTTTACTTTCTGCCTATTTCATTATATTTGAAGTGGGTTTCTTCTAAAGAGCACAATGTTGGGTCACTGCTTTTTAATCCTCTTTACCAATCTTTCTTTTAATTGGAATGTTTAGACAATTTACAAGTAAATAAATTGTTGATGTTAGGGCATAAGTTGACATTTTATTTTTTATTTTCTGTTTGTTCTCTCTGTGTTTTGTCTCTGTTTTCTTTTTCTTACTTTTTTGTAGATTACCTTTTTTTTTTTACAATTCGATTTTAATTAATCTATATTGTTTTAAATTAAGAGTGTCTCTTTGTATACTCTTTCTATATTTTATATATATATATATATATATATATATATATATATAGTGACCCAAGATTCCTTCTTTTCTTAGTTCCTACCTGTTTAGAGAACTTTCCTTAGCCATTATTTTAGGGTAGGTCAAGCTGGCAATGAGTTCTCTTACTGGTCCTTCATCTGAGCATGTCTTTATTTCTCCTTCATATTATCTCTGGATATGTGATTCTTGACTGACAGTTCTTTTCTTTCAGAAATTGAAAAATGTTGTGTCACTTCCTTGATGAGAGATGAGAAATCTACTGTCATTTGAACTGTTTTCCCCGATAGGTAAAGTCTCATTTCTCTTGCTGCTTTCTACATTTTTTCCTTGTTTTTAATTTTTAGAAGTTTAGCTATGATGTGTCTTGGCATGGATTTCTTTGGGTTTATCCTGTTTGGGGTTCACTTAACTTTTTGAATGTATAGATTTATATCTCTTGCTAAATTTGGGAAATAGTCATCATCCTCATCCTCATTCAATACTTTTATGTCCTACCCTCTTTCTTCTCCTTCTTTGAGACTCCAGTGACATGAATGTTAGATCTTTGGTTATGGTCCTGTAGGTCCCTAAGGCTCTGTTCCTTTTTTCTTTCTTTTTTCCTTATTTTCTTTCTGTTGTTCAGATTGGATAATTTCTATTTTTCTATCTTCTTATTCTTATTCTTTCCTCTCTCCCCTCCTTTCTGCTCTTGGGTCCATTCATTGAATTTTTTATTCCTTTAATGTATTTTTTCAGTTCTAAGATTTCCTTTGATTCTTCTTATATATTCTTTTTTTGGCTGATATTTTGTATTTTTTCCATTTATTTTCAGTGTGTTTATATTTCTTGTTGCAGCATTTTTAAAAAATGTTCATTTATTTATTGTGGGGGGTGCAGAGAGAGAGAGCGAGAGAATCCCAAGCATGCTCCACACTGTCAGTGCAAAGCCCAATGTGGGGCTTGATCTCACAAACTGTGAGCTAATGACCTGAGCCAAAATCAAGAGTTGGATTCTTAAGCCACCCAGATGCGCCTGCTGAAGGATTTTTATGATTTAAAATTGTTGCCAGATGATTCTAACATCTCTGTCAGTGTTAGAAACAAATCCTTGTCGTTTCACTATCTCACCAACATGTGATATTGTCACACTTTTTTTTTAAAGCCATTCTGCTAAGTGTGTAGTGGTATCACATTGTGGTTTTAATTCGCATTTCACTGATGACTAATAACGTTGGAAATCTTTTGCTCATTTTTTATAATGAGTTGATTATTTTCTTATCGCTGCATCTTCATTAGTTTTTAAAAAGCTCCCTAGCATTTAGAACAATACTTGGCATGGCATATGGGGTCTTATTTAACATGACCCTGTTTGTATTTCCAACTTCATCTTCCAATTTAGTATTGCTCTGATGGCCTCACTCATGATTGAAAAAAGTATAATATCACAGTAGACCTCCTTGTTATTCCCACTCCCAAATCTATAACCCTATCTACACCTGTCCTTCTTTATTCCATCCTGATGTAATTCAAGAAGTGTCTGTCCTCCTAACAAAGATCAATTCTTTTACAAGAGTGTTTGATCCCATCCCCTCTCACATTGTTTAGGACTTTCCTTCCATTATTCCCTTTTCTCTCATGTACTATTGATCTTTCATCAGCACCTAACTGATCATTCCTACCAGTAAACCAATGTGCTCTTGTATCCTCCATCATAAAGAAACAAGAGAACCTCTCTTGTCCCCTAATTCCCTTCCAGCTACTATTTCTTTGATCCTCTTTATACTCAAATTTCTCAAAAGCATTTTCTATAAACGCTGGCCCCACTTCTTCCCTTCCTGTTCCCTCTCTCCTGCCCTCTGATCCACTGAAGTGCTCTTGTCAAGGCACCACTGATCTACTTGGGCAAAATCTAGTGAAGAATTCTCCTACTTGACCACTGCCTTCTGTTTTGAAGCAGTCTCTTCTCTTAGCTTTGGTGATGCCGTATTCCCTAGTGTTTTCTCTTCTTTCACTAGCTGCTCCTTGGATTCCTGTGTACTTTCTCCTTTTCTCTCTGTCTTCTGGTTGTGGATGTGTCTCAGAGCTCATAAGGCCACTCTTGAAGAAACTTGAAAACACTTGGCTTTTGTGATATAATTTTTAAAGTGATATTACACTACATGATGTCTTTTCATTGAAAAGAAGTCCACATTTATATGATGAGTTAAAATTCTACTAACCACCCACATACAGCCCTATTCCCCCAGGACCTACTGTATCCCAGTATCTGCGGCCTCTCCAGTCATTCTGTGTCCCCAGGGCCCCAGGCTGCCCAGACTCCTCTCCCTTCCCAGATGAGACATTTCCATGCTGACAGAAAATCTCTCAGCTCTGCAGGTATCAGCTTTTACCTCTCTCAGCTACTTTGGGTGAATGTTCTTTTTCACAGCCAACAGATTATGTTGTTCCTAGTAATTAGCACCATCTGCAATCATTTGTTCATTCCACATGAAGATAACCAGTCTCCTCCATTAGAACAAACCCCTTGGAGGCAGCACCTCTGTCCCAGTGCTTGGAACAAACAGTGCACATGAGAGCAATGCAGTAACAACTCCCGTGAAGCCAGGAGTTGTGTGTATGCAAATTCAGATTTACATACACAGAGGCTACATGTATACATACTCACGAATACAGGCAACCCTCAGTTCTCATCGATGCTGTGTTTGTGTGTTTGCCTACTTGCTAAGCTTTATTTGTAGCCCCATAACCAACACTTGCATGTTTTCGTGGCTGCAAGTGGATGTGAACAGAACTGGTGAGAGTGAGTCACCTGCACATACTCCCAGCTGGGAAGGAACCAGGCGATACTCTTCAACTCTCACTGGAAAGAGGCATCCTTTTGCCACCTAGTTAGTCTCATGTTTTCATATTTTTGTGCTTTTTGTTGGCGATTTTGCCATTTAAAGTGGCCCCCAAGCCTAGTGCTGAAGTGCTGTCTACGGTTCCTAAGTACAAAAAGGCTGTGATGTGCCTCATGGAAAAAATACACTTGCTAGATGGTTTATCCAGGCCTGAGTTCGAGGTCTGCTGATTGTGAGCTCAACATTCACGAGTCAACAATAAATATTAAATAAGGTTTCTTGAACAGAAATGCACCTAAAACAGGGTTATGTATTGATTAGTTGTTGACAATGTGACCAGAGGCTCCCAGGAACCTAACCATGTATTTCCTCCAGGGACAATGACTTAGTCTTCAGTAACTCAGGGTTTGTGTTGACTTTATAGAACATAATTACTGCAAATAAGAAGACTCGATGGGAAATATCTATCTATCTATCTATCTCCAGTTTGCTTCCCTCAATTATCAGTTGAGGGGGATGTTGGAAAAAATGTATGTACTTGTGTATGTTTGTATTTTGTCTGTTTCTTATGAATTGACTGCTTATTTTCTTTGTTCATTTTTCTTTTGTCTTCTTCCTATCAATGTAAATAATTTATATGTCATGCATATTAATTCTTTAAAAAAACTTTTTTTTAAACATTTATTTATTTTTGAGACAGAGAGAGACAGAGCATGAACGGGGGAGGGTCAGAGAGAGAGGGAGACACAGAATCTGAAACAGGCTCCAGGCTCCGAGCTGTCAGCACAGAGCCCGATGCGGGGCTCGAACTCATGGACCGCGAGATCATGACCTGAGCCGAAGTTGGCCGCTTAACCGACTGAGCCACCCAGGTGCTCCTTAATTCTTTATCTCGTACAAGCTTTGCAAATATTGCATTCCCGTTGCCATTCTTTAAACTTCACTTTTGTGGTCTTTTCACAGAGGGAAGTTTTAAATGTTTAGAAGATCAAATCTGCCCGTCTTTTCCTTTGTAGCTTCTGGGTTTGTTTTTTTCATAGAAAGGACTTCTTCAATCTATATTAATAAAATAGAATTCTCTATTTTCTATGTTTTTTTTTTCAACGTTTTTTATTTATTTTTGGGACAGAGAGAGACAGAGCATGAACGGGGGAGGGGCAGAGAGAGAGGGAGACACAGAATCGGAAACAGGCTCCAGGCTCTGAGCCATCAGCCCAGAGCCTGACGCGGGGCTCGAACTCCCGGACCGCGAGATCGTGACCTGGCTGAAGTCGGACGCTTAACCGACTGCGCCACCCAGGCGCCCCCTATTTTCTATGTTTTTAAAGGAAGGGAGCCTTCTACTTTATCGGGGATATTTTCAGCATTTTAAGGTGGGGAGCTGCTGAACTAGCAGCTGCTCAGACTCTTTTCTTCCTTCTTTTCTTAGACTTATTCTCAGTTCATGCCTCATGACCAGAATTGATTGATCGCCTCCCAAGTGAAGAGCCTCTGCCTGCACGTCTTACTGCACCCACTTCCTCTCTCAGCACTGCTCCCCCAAATGCTGGTCTGTCTCTGGTAGGTTCTGGCTCTGCCCCTCCCCACCTCAGTGCTCTGTTTCTCTGTCTCTCAAAACAAATAAACTTAAAAAAGTTATATATAAGTACAGACTAAAGACCATACTTTAAGTAAGAACTTAATGGCCAAGTCTGCCATGGGGCTTGAACTCAAACCATGAGATCATGACCTGAGCCCAAGTCAGATGCCCAATGAACTGAGCCACCTAGGTGCCCCTGGCCAAAGCCTTTTTAAAAACCTCTGAAGAGAATGGAAGAATGGACAGTCCTGACTTCACCAAGATGGGTGTCTGCTTCTTTTCTACAGCTCCTGCTGTCCTTGAACTCCCTCCTGGCTGTGTGACAGTTCCTCACGCAGACACCAGGCTGTAGCCAACTGAGCAGCGGGAGCTTGGAGCCTGGCTCTATATCTTCAGGCGTCTGATCATTTCACGTAAGAGAGGCACCCTGCCAATGTCTGCGAGGCTGGACATGTATGGCAGGATCATCCGCCAGAGTGAGACAGAGCCTTTTCTGCCCCTTCTGCCTGGCCAAGGGGCCTTGAGGCTGAAACAGGTCTCCCCACATTTGTGCTGGACTGACCCGCTGCCCTTGGGCCTTTGTTGGGTAGGCAGTTAATGTGTACAGGCTATCTCCTGCTTCCAACCCCTCGGCATTTTTGTCCTCTATCCCAGCAAATCTGAGGGCGGGTAGAAAAGAACTTGCAAACTCTTAGAAGAGTCTTTGTTTCAAGGGAGGAGCAGCTTAGAGATGTACGGCCCTGCAAAAATGAAACCAAGTGAGCAAAACTCAACCCAAAAGTCATCAACATTCAAAATAATACCAGAGCATGATAGTCTTTTTTTCCAGATATTAGCTGTGCTCTATTTTCTGTGGTGAAGACCCCCAAATCTCTCTCCAGTGGAAGAAACCTTCATTTCTTCCAGCCTCAACAGACCCTATATCCAGAACTGTTTGCCATTTTTCAGATTCTTTAAAAGACTTAATTTGTTTGAAGGGAAAAAGATTTTCCTAAAGAATCTGGCTACTAAGGACCTAATTCAGTGCCATGATTTTCTGGCAATCCAGATATTCACAGACATGGTCATGGCGATGATGAAGGCAAAGAAAGGGCTTAAAGGTAAGAGGAGAGAGATGCTTTCTCCCTCTCCTTCTGGGGATCTCTGAGCCCTCACCCCTCACCCCTCCAGTAGGCTGTGGGTTTGGTGCTGCAGCCTAGGTGGCTTCACCACCTGGATGCTTCTGGAAGCTGACATGTTCTCTTTCTGTGGTGTGTGGGTTAGCCAACTACTTCCAAATACAGGTGGCCCTTGAACCAAGTGGGGTTAGGGTAGACCATGCCCTGTGTAATCAAATATCTGTGTATCACTTTTGATTTCCCAAAAACTTAACTACTTAGTAGCATACTGTTGACTGGAAGACTTGCTGATAATATAAAGAGTCAATTAACACATATTTTATATGTCATATGTATTATACACTGTATTCTTACAATAAAGTAAGCTAGAGAAAGGAAGATCTTATTAAAATCATAGGGAAGAAAAAATACATTTATAGTACTGTGTTGTATTGATCAACAAAAATTCATGTATAAGGGACCTGTGCATTTCAAACCCGTGTTGCTCAACGGTCAGCTGTGTTCAGTTTTGTGTTGAGCCTTCTGTCCGGAGCCCTTGCTGGTCTCCCAGGCTGCTGTGCCTCATATTGGGAAGAACCACACGCTTCTCCTTTGCTGTTGTCCGTAGTGAGGGTTCTGAGAGCCTGGGCTGAAAAGGCAGTGTGGCTCCCTCTCACCTGGCAGAGAGCTGTGTCTAGGGCCATCCCGGGAAGCAAGGCCCACTGAGAGCAGGCTGGAAACTGGGCGTCCTCTCCCAGCAGGGACCCCATGGGCCTGTGGGACACTGTGCATGTGTAGCTTGCTTAGAAGACAGGGAAGGAGGGGCGTTGGCTTAGGTGTCCCAGGGACTCACTCCTCTATTAAGGTGCCACATTATGTGCTCCTCATTTCTTCTGGCCTCTGAAATACCATCTCCTCACTACCCTCATAGCTGGCTTGGTCGATACCTGGGCCATTATTCACATGTTTGTTGGTTATAATCTTGTCCCCTTACCAACTGTAACCAGGAGGGCAGGGCTTCATCTGTCTTGCTTGCTTATTGCCTGCCATTCAGGGTGTTTGGCAAATGCTTGTTGGTTTTTGAGTGGGTCCAGCTGCACCTGTTTGCACAGGGGATCATCTCTACTACACAGCCTGTGACATGGACAGACTGCCTCAGCTCCTTAGACAAGGTAGGTTTTGAGGAGACTTTGTGATTCCATGTCATGAACATGAAACCACACTGGGAGCTAGTAGACAGGAAATATAGTCACCTGGCTGTCAGTGAGCCTCTAGGTGGAGAGTTGTCCTTGTCCAGAAATGGATGGGCAGGATGCCCTAGTAGACGAACGCCATCAGAAGCTGCTCCAGGAGTAGTCTTCAGACTCCCTCCCTTATCAGCACCTGTGATATGATGATTTATGAAAGATCACTCAGATGACCAAAATATATTTCTCAGACACATTTGGTCTTCATCCACAGTTCCTTCAGAGCCAAAAGGGTGACACGGGTGTCTTGTTACTAATGAAGGGGGCTTTTGGACCCCATCTCAGGGCAGGGGCCCATGGCCCCAATGTCTCCCTCAACTTCCAGGGAGGGGACAGGGGCTGGAGATTGGATCACCCAATGGCCAATGAGTTAGTCAATCATGACTACATAATGAATCCTCCATAAAAACCCAAGGGACTGGGTTCAGAGAGCTTCGGGTTGGTGAACATGTGGAGATGTGGCAAAAGTGGTGCCCTGCAGAGGGCGTGGAAGTTCCATGCCCCTTCCCTGTACTTTGTGCTATGCATCCCTTCATCTGGCTGTTGATTCTTATCCTTTATCACACCCTTATATAAACTGGTAAATGTAAGCGTTTCCTTGAGTTCTATGAGTTGCTCTAGCAAATTAAAAGAGCCTAAGAAGGAGGTCCTGGGAACCTCTAATTTATAGCCATCTGGTCAAAAGCATAGGGAACGGCCTGGGCTTGTGACTGGCATCTGAATTGGGGGTGGAAGACAGTTTTGTAGGACTGAACCCTAACCTGTGAGATCTGATGTTGTCTCTGGGTAGACAGTGTCAGAACTAGATTGAAATCTTAGACACTATGGTGGTGTCTGAGAATAGCTTGGTATTGTGTGTGGGGGGACCCCCTCCCCCTTGTTTGAATTGGGTCTGGAAACCCTAAAAGGGGTAGTGTCAGGGGAGTACCTCATCCCATCCCAGACAGCTCCCCCTCAGCGTGGAGCTTTGGTTCTGATTGGGAGGGATGTCTTCTGTGCACATTGGCTCCATAACAGTAACTGAGAGAGCAATTAAGTCAGAAAACCAAACAGAATAGAGAAGACGGGTCCAGAAGAAATTCTAGATGGGTCTAGAAAGCCAGGGGGCTTTCTAGAGGACTGAGGGTCAGGGAAGGAGTCTTTGGGGTCATGTGGGGAAGGACCACCTTCCTGAGGGGTTGATGATCAGGCAGGATTTGGGGGAATGCCAGCAGGGGGGTCTTGGGTGGGCTGGGGTTCTCTCAGCTTCTCCACTGAGCACCCTATCCTCATACTGCCAACACCTGCCCCCACTTCTCCACGTCTGTCTCCTGTCAGCTCTCCCACAATGCCAAAGTGGCGGCCCAGCTCCATGGGAACTTCTCTCCAAGAAGCAGCAGTCTGACCCAGAGGGTTTCCTAACGCAGGGCTGTGGTTACTTTAAAAGCCTGTGAGCACCAAATAATACATGTAGATACTCTGCCTGCTCAGGAGGGTAGAGCTTAAAAATACTCACTCAGAACATCTTGGCAGACAGCATCTCAGCCGGGAGAAGGCAGCAAAATCCCATCACACGCCTGCCCCTGCAGCAGCACCAGGAGGTGCTCACACACCTGCGAAGCCCACAGCGTGTCTAACCATGAGAAGATATCACACAAGCCCAAATGGAGGGACTTTCGAGGGAAGACTGAGGAGCGGTCACAGGAGATGATGGGGACACTGGGCGTGTGCTGGGACAGGAGGGGGTGTGAGTGGAAGAAGCGAATGATGTCTGGAGCTCAGGTAATGGCATTGAGCTAATGCTGAGTCTCAGTTTTGGGAAAAGCTCCAGGATTGTATAAGATTTTGACATCAGGGTAAGTTGGGTGAAGGGAATGTGGAAAGTCTCCGGAAATCTGAAATCATCCCAAAACAAAAAGTAAAAAAGAAAAAGCCTTTGCAGGTGTGTCCCATCCTTGGGATGTTCCCACCGCACCAGACCATGCAGTCTGGCTCTCTCCATCTCGGCCCGCTGCCTCCTACCCTGCCCTGCTCTCAGCTCCCTCTCCAGATTCCTACACAAGAGCTGTGAGCCCATGCCCTGGGCTTCCTTGTGTCCTGAGGGGCCTCAGACAAGGTGGGGAGCAGTATGCATGAACTTCCTCACAGAGGGGAAGTTGGGAATCTCAGCCCAGCTCAGCACCCAGGCCATCTAGCTACAGACAATCGGATCTCTGAAAACTTCCACCTAAAGTCCTATGCTTTCATCCGTCGGCCTCATCAGGAGATTGTCTGGGCCTGGGCTCTGACAATGGCTGCATTCCACTTGCAGCGGACGCATCAGGAGATGAAGCCCCGCCACAGTCCAGGAGCAGATCCGAAAGAGTCCTGGGTTATGAGGGGAGGCAGGGGCGGCCTAGGGCTGCTCTCTTTGGGAGACTCTTCAAGAAGTGATCCTGGTTGGCCTCTCCCAGGTCTGCATCTGGGTATGATTAGCACTGGAGATCAGCAAAGAACAAACAGCTCCCAGGGGCCCCCCCAGGAGCCCTCCAGGGTAACAGTGGGCACAACAGAAGACAGAGACACTGAAGGAAGGCCAAGGGCCGGAAGACCTGGTCCTGTGCTAAACTCCGTAAACACACGCCATCTGTTTACTCCTGACAGCAGCCCTGCTTTGTCCTGCAGAGGAGGAACCTGCGACTCAGAGAGATTAGATTCTTTCCCGAACTCACACCGGCTGGAAAGAGGAAGAGGTGGTGTCTGA